TGTATAGCCACAGTCCCTGTCGAAGAAGGCGTTCAGAATCGGAAAAATACGTGTATTGCAAGACAGGAGTGCGGTGCCTGTATTTCCCCGTGTCTGGTGTCAGAGAGGAGCTGCCTGCTGTGATTTCCTTGATGTAAGTATACGGTTTTGATAAATATCACAGACGTTGCACGAGAAAGCATTGCTATATGTTGTACATCTGTCGTAATGTTCCATTCTATAACTTGTAAACGTTATAGTTATTTTTGAGAATCGCTGATGGGACCCAATCATGTAGCTACGCTGATTGGTATAATACATCTGTACATTGTTTAGACACAGCTATATGACAGCCCCGAAAACAAACTGTCCATGCCTGTCCTGAAGGGTTTTAACATCTTTATTAGAAGAAGGTGATACAACCAAGGCGCATGTCCTCTGTTCAAAGGAAAATGCCGTCATGGCAGCTGTCAGTGAACACGCAGTTAGATATAGCATGATACCAAAGCTAGCAATATTAAAATTCGTTGTTTGAGATCTGGACAGAAAGATGCCTGTAAAACTCACTTGTATCAGTGATAACATTTTAGTTTTGATACAGCATTAACCTTATGCGAAACGTAACGAACCACGCGCGTGCGTGCACACTCCATCACACACAAAACTGTACAGAGAGCCTTTATAATCAATGATTAGTGGTTAGCAGTGAGCTCCAGAAACAGGTAATCGATAGAGGGGCTGCCTAGAAATACACAAAACATAGTCGAGAGACGTCTCCGAGACATGTTACAAAACGGAAGATATCTCAAGACTACATCGAAGAAAAGAACATGTGTGATGCACGTTCTGTGTCCAGCGCACGTGTAGCCGTGTGGGTCTCGGTCTCCGAATCCCCTGTGGTAACCATGTGTCTGGACCAGGGCACATGGAAAGCTACGTAATCATTCATATTTCCTTGTTGCATGGAAATAGAGGCAATATACGTTTTACTGCCCGTAATATACACACTGCCTTACCAATCTATCAAGCTCGTCCAGGTACCAATCTGAGTAAACGAATTCGATTTGGTTCACTATTCGATAAATGTAAAAAGCCATCAAAAGTCGATAAAAAGTATGTATTAATTCATACATGATGCTGGCGATATGTAAGTGATGTTAAACAAACCTATGAATGCTCGTATGTCACCAGTATCTCACAACCTGTGTTGAAGGGACTTGCTCTTATGTCACCAGTATCTCACAACCTGTGTTGAAGGGACTTGCTCGTATGTCACCAGTATCTCACAACCTGTTTTGAAGGGACTTGCTCGTATGTCACCAGTATCTCACAACCTGTGTTGAAGGGACTTGCTCTTATGTCACCAGTATCTCACAACCTGTGTTGAAGGGACTTGCTCTTATGTCACCAGTATCTCACAACCTGTGTTGAAGGGACTTGCTCTTATGTCACCAGTATCTCACAACCTGTGTTGAAGGGACTTGCTCTTATGTCACCAGTATCTCACAACCTGTGTTGAAGGGACTTGCTCTTATGTCACCAGTATCTCACAACCTGTGTTGAAGGGACTTGCTCTTATGTCACCAGTATCTCACAACCTGTGTTGAAGGGACTTGCTCTTATGTCACCAGTATCTCACAACCTGTGTTGAAGGGACTTGCTCTTATGTCACCAGTATCTCACAACCTGTGTTGAAGGGACTTGCTCTTATGTCACCAGTATCTCACAACCTGTGTTGAAGGGACTTGCTCTTATGTCACCAGTATCTCACAACCTGTGTTGAAGGGACTTGCTCTTATGTCACCAGTATCTCACAACCTGTGTTGAAGGGACTTGCTCTTATGTCACCAGTATCTCACAACCTGTGTTGAAGGGACTTGCTCTTATGTCACCAGTATCTCACAACCTGTGTTGAAGGGACTTGCTCTTATGTCACCAGTATCTCACAACCTGTGTTGAAGGGACTTGCTCTTATGTCACCAGTATCTCACAACCTGTGTTGAAGGGACTTGCTCTTATGTCACCAGTATCTCACAACCTGTGTTGAAGGGACTTGCTCTTATGTCACCAGTATCTCACAACCTGTGTTGAAGGGACTTGCTCTTATGTCACCAGTATCTCACAACCTGTGTTGAAGGGACTTGCTCTTATGTCACCAGTATCTCACAACCTGTGTTGAAGGGACTTGCTCTTATGTCACCAGTATCTCACAACCTGTGTTGAAGGGACTTGCTCTTATGTCACCAGTATCTCACAACCTGTGTTGAAGGGACATGCTCTTATGTCACCAGTATCTCACAACCTGTGTTGAAGGGACTTGCTCTTATGTCACCAGTATCTCACAACCTGTGTTGAAGGGACTTGCTCCTATGTCACCAGTATCTCACAACCTGTGTTGAAGGGACATGCTCTTATGTCACCAGTATCTCACAACCTGTATTGAAGGAACTTGCTCTTATGTCACCAGTATCTCACAACCTGTGTTGAAGGGACATGCTCTTATGTCACCAGTATCTCACAACATGTGTTGAAGGGACTTGCTGTTATGTCACCAGTATCTCACAGTTTTTACTTCATACAGTTTGTAATTTATACAGTTTGAACTTCTTACAGTTTGAACTAAATACAGTTTGTAATGTATACAGTTTGTACTTCATACAGTTTTTACTTCATACAGTTTGTACTTCATACAGTTTGGACTTCATACAGTTTGTAATTTATACATTTTGAACTACATACAGTTTGTAATTTATACAGTTTGTACTTCATACAGTTTGTAATTTATACAGTTTGTACTTCATACAGTTTTTACTTCATGCAGTTTGTACTTCATACAGTTTGAACTACACACAGTTTGTACTTCATACAGTTTTTACTTCATACAGTTTGTACTTCATACAGTTTGTAATTTATACAGTTTGTATTTCGTACAGTTTGTACTTCATACAGTTTGTACTTCATACAGTTTGTACTTCTTACAGTTTGAACTAAATACAGTTTGTAATGTATACAGTTTGTACTTCATACAGTTTTTACTTCATACAGTTTGTACTTCATACAGTTTGGACTTCATACAGTTTGTAATTTCTACAGTTTGAACTACATACAGTTTGTAATTTATACAAATTGCACTTCATACGGTTTGTAATTTATACAGTTTGTACTTCATACAGTTTTTACTTCATACAGTTTGTACTTCATATAGTTTGTACTTCTTACAGTTTGAACTATATACAGTTTGTAATGTATACAGTTTGTACTTCATACAGTTTTTACTTCATACAGTTTGTACTTCATACAGTTTGTACTTCATACAGTTTGTAATATATACAGTTTGAACTACATACAGTTTGTAATTTATACAGTTTGTACTTCATACAGTTTGTAATTTATACAGTTTTTACTTCATACAGTTTGTACTTCATACAGTTTGAACTACACACAGTTTGTACTTCATACAGTTTTTATTTCATACAGTTTGTACTTCATAGATGTTTGAGTTACTTTCCTTTTGTAGGTATTCCACTTTAGAGCTGTTTGAGCTACTAACCTTTTGTTAGTGTTTCACTTTATAGATGTTTGAGTTACGTTCCTTTTGTAGGTGTTCCACTTTAAAGCTGTTTGAGTTACTTCCCTTTTGTAGGTGTTCCACTTTAGAGCAGTTCGAGTTACGTTCATTTTGTAGGTGTTCCACTTTAGAGCTGTTTGAGCTACTAACCTTTTGTTAGTGTTTCACTTGATAGATGTTTGAGTTACTTTCCTTTTGCAAGTGTTCCACTTAAGAGATGTTTGAGTTACGTTCCTTTTGTAGGTGTTCCACTACGGAGCTGTTTGAGCTACTAACCTTTTGTAAGTGTTCCACTTTAGAGCAGTTCGAGTTACGTTCCTTTTGTAGGTGTTCCACTTTAGAGCTGTTTGAGTTACGTTCCTTTTGTAGGTATTCCACTTTAGAGCTGTTTGAGCTACTAACCTTTTGTTAGTGTTTCACTTTATAGATGTTTGAGTTACTTTCCTTTTGTTAGTGTTCCACTTTATAGATGTTTGAGTTACGTTCCTTTTGTAGGTGTTCCACTTTAAAGCCGTTTGAGTTACTTCCATTTTGTAGGTGTTCCACTTTAGAGCTGTTTGAGTTACTTCCCTTCTGTAGGTGTTTAGCCCTCATTTTGATGTTGTGATTTTATAAATCGTATACAACATGATTGGTATAGGACTGGCAATGTACACACCCCGAGTCCGATACCTATATGTACATAATATATACAGATATTTTGTTTTTGTTTTTATATGCCGTAAAAATCGTCATGAGATGTGATTTTTCTAGTATACTCCTGTCGAAAAGGACCTTTACCTAATATTCCATGATATTGTTAGTGATAATAATATTTTAAGTTAACTTAAGGTTTTCTGTCTCAATTGACACCTGTCACATTAGTCTTGATAGCGTATACTATATGTAAACCTATCCTATCATTTCAGGCGATCTACTTGCAACATCTGGGGGAAAGAGCTCTATAAACTTGTAGTAAAATAGAAGTTCACCTTATACCTGGCAAATCAGACAACCCTTTTGACAAAAATACCATACGAGGAAAAACGCAGAAAAATCCGGTCAATGCAAACATCTCCTTGACAGCATGCAGAAAAAAAACATCCGCCAAATAATGTAGAATATCGTGGCGACATTCACAGCTTTTCAACACTATATACGTGCCAAAAAATCACCCGGCTGATAATCAAATCCATCCGGGCAGCGCTGAGAGCTCTTCAACACCAAACAAGAACATCGCAACACCATGGTTATAACATAGTGTGGTCTCAACATCCTGGCAACGACGACAAATCCGCTATTATATAAACAACGAAAGAACATTTCAGAAATGCCTTATATTTGTTTCATGAACTCGTACATCAGACTTATTTGTCATAGATACAAGTGGTCAGTATTTCTGTGTGTGTTGGTATTATACTTGATATGGCTCGCTACGAAAATCCACTATTCTTCACCACAAGGAGCCGACTACATGGAAGGTAGTTTTCTTGATGACTACGCCACAATGGATTTTAACTTACAAAATATTTCTGACCAGGTATGCGTACAGCCTGACCTTCGACCTTTCCATCCTTCTGTGGCTGGTTTCTTCTACCAGGTACCCGACCTGGTTTGTGACCCTAGAGATAACTGGATAGCTGTGGAGAACGGGACATTTTGGATTACGCCACAAGCTCGGAAATTGTATGGCAAAATTAAATGCCAGTTTGCTGCAGTGTATCGCAATGCGGGAGACGATAACTTGACAGTGACTGGCAGGAGGGAGCCAATGACAAAAGACATCATGAAAGCTCCTTCGGACTACTTCAAGATATCATGTTTATCTGAAAACAGAACCAGGTATGTTAATATCCATGCAACGATTGCCTATAATGCCACCAAACATGAGAGAAAAGTAACTAACTCTAAATCGATGGAACTAAATGTTTTAATGTTTGGATTTGATAGTGTATCGAGGATGACATGGTTACGGAAATTGCCTAAAAGTCGACAATATTTCAGAAATATTCTTGGAGGGATTGAGTTGGAAGGCTACAACATTGTCGGGGACGGTACACCCCAGGCCCTGCTCCCGTTACTGACGGGGAAGACAGAACTAGAGCTACCCGAGTCACGCCGAGGCCATCCGAACGCAAAGGTAGTGGATGGCCATCCATGGATCTGGAAGGATTTTGAAACTGCTGGATACATAACTCAATGGGCGGAGGACATGGCACACATTGGAACTTTCAATCTCCGTATGATGGGCTTTACACAACAGCCTGTACACCATTATATGCGGCCATTTTACTTGGTGGCTGAGAAATTGTACGGCCATAACAAACCGTACTGTCTGGGATCTTTACCCCGGCACAAAGTCATGCTGGAATGGGTAAGAGACAGCTTTATGCAATATGAACGTAAGCTTAAGTTCATCTTTGGTTTTCATTCCGAGTATAGTCACGGGAATCCTAACAATTTACAATGGGCTGATGTCGACTTGCTAGCTTTACTTCAATTTCTTAATGACAAACAATATTTAAACAACACAATTTTAATTCTGATGAGCGACCATGGCTCAAGATTCGCAGATATACGGGAAACATTCCAGGGAAAACTGGAAGAGAGATTGCCTTATTTTGCCTTCCGATTTCCATCATGGTTTAAAACAAAATATCCAGGTATTCATGAAAATTTTCTGTCAAATTCTAAAAAATTGACTACTCCTTTCGATATACATGAAACGTTTCATGACATTCTTGATCTAGCACGAATGGACGACAAAATCGACTCCGGTCAACCTTCAAGAGGTATAAGTTTATTCAGACCAATTTCAGCAGATAGAACTTGTCAGGAAGCTGGCATTGAACCACATTGGTGCGCATGTCTAAAATGGACAGAAATTCCTGTTGACATTCCGCCAATCATAATTGCTGTAACAAAAGTTATAGAGTTTATAAACAAGCTCACCAGTAATTTCCGAAATATCTGCTGTGAACTTTGTCTCCTCAAAGTAAAAGATGCCTACAAATTTGGAATAGACAATAATGTGCTAAAGTACAAAGGAAGCGCAGATGAAGACGGTCGTTTGCCGCAATTTGGAGATTATAAACAAAATGTTAATGAAATATATCAGGTGACATTCGTAACTATTCCAGGTAATGGAACATTTGAAGCCAGCGTTAATCGCACAGCTAACGGTACATTCATAGTTAACGGAGGACAAATAAGCAGGATAAATAAATATGGTCACCATGCGGATTGTATAGTGGAATCGGCGCCACATCTTAGACCTTACTGTTACTGTCAGTAATGTTTCAACCTAACAAGTATTGACAATAATGTACCGATTTAACTCTTACTGTCAGTAATGTACCAAACTAATTGGTATTGATAATAATGAACCAACCTAATTGGTATTGACAATAATGTACCAACCTAATTGGTATTGACAATAATGTACCAACCTAATTGGTATTGACAATAATGTACCAACCAAATTGGTATTGACAATAATGTTATTGTCAGTAATATACCAACCTAATTGGTATTGACAATAATGTACCACCCTAATTGGTATTGTCAATACTGTACCAACCTAATTGGTATTTACAATAATGTACCAACCTAATGGGTATTGACAATAATGTTACTGTCAGTAATATACCAACCTACTTGGTATTGACAATAATGTTACTGTCAGTAATATACCAACCTACTTGGTATTGACAATAATGTGTCACCAGTATCTCACAGTTTTTACTTCATACAGTTTGTAATTTATACATTTTGAACTACATACAGTTTGTAATTTATACATTTTGAACTACATACAGTTTGTAATTTATACAGTTTGAACTTCTTACAGTTTGAACTAAATACAGTTTGTAATGTATACAGTTCAAACTGTAAGAAGTACTTCATATAGTTTGTACTTCATATAGTTTGTACAAACTGTATGAAGTAAAAACTGGAATTTATACAGTTTGTACTTCATACAGTTTTTACTTCATACAGTTTGTACTTCATACAGTTTGTACAAACTATATGAAGTACAAACTGTATAAATTCCAGTTTTTACTTCATACAGTTTGTAATTTATACAGTTTGTACGAAATACAAACTGTATAAATTACAAGCTGTATGAAGTACAGTTTGTAATTTATACATTTTGAACTACATACAGTTTGTAATTTATACAGTTTTTACTTCATACAGTTTGTACAAACTATATGAAGTACTTCTTACAGTTTGAACTAAATACAGTTTGTAATGTATACAGTTCAAACTGTAAGAAGTTCAAACTGTCAATACCAATTAGGTTGTTACATTATTGACAATACCAATTAGGGTGGTACATTATTGTCAATACCAGTTAGGTTGGTATATTACTGACAGTAACATTATTGTCAATACCAATTAGGATGGTATATTACTGACAATAACCTTATTGTCAATACCAATTTGGTTGGTATTGACAATAATGTAACAACCAAATTGGTATTGACAATAATGTACCAACCTAATTGGTATTGACAATAATGTACCAACCTTATTGGTATTGACAATAATGTAGCAACCTTATTGGTATTGACAATAATGTACCGATTTAATTGTAACTGTCAGTTAATGATTGTGTTCAAAACAAAAAGTTGATTATTTTCTCTCAATTATCTATACATCAAACTTTGTATGCTTTCCTTAATGTAAACAACTTTCTAACGTTGATAACAACGGCGTTTCGTTTTTAAAAATCGCGATTCTCTTGACCACATAGATGTTATCATGTCACTGTTAGAATAAGGACTACAATGAAGTGTTAAATGTGACCATTTTAGTTGGATTTCATGTTTTGACTCGAATGCTAAAGAAGGTTGTACATATATTTCGCTGACACATTCATCATAATCTTTCTAAAACATACGTTTCAATGAAAAACAACTTTGTAATTTTTTGTTTCATAAAACAATATATTTATTCAGCCAAAGCATTTGTAATGATATAAAAGCCTATACCATGCTAATTTCTTTCCCCTCTGTTGTGATATACTGAATAATAACAATGGACACAGAGTGCAAACCAACGCCTGATCTGAGAGTCCATACTAACACATGACAGTGTGTAACAACAGGAGGTAGTCATTCTCCCGTGTCCCTTAAACGCTTGTAAACGTGCAGTTTTATTCATGTTTGGTGGCAATGGTGAATGATCAGAATTATAATCAGTGAGGGTGGTTTATTCTGTTTTATATACATCAATCAAACTCTTCGTTTATACGATTAATCATTTAAAAGCTTTTAAACTACTCTTGGGAAAGGAAACTTAATAATACCGTGTTAAAGTTAGCCTGTCGTTGGAAAACATTTCACTCATACCTCAAAACTTTGGCCTGGCAAGCGAGAGTTATCTTTCCTTAACAACCTACCATACAACGTAAAACACATACCTGGCTACGGGAACTCACGTGGGGTTGCCTTTTCGGATGTTTCCCTATCCGGGACACGGGAGAAGATATACGAGTTATAAATGTAACGTAATGAGAAAATTGGCAAGAATTTCTGATATACATACAAATTACAATAAATATTGTTTTTATGAGATGTGATATAGATTACATATTTTTATTATCACAATGGCGAAGTGGTGATATTTTATGTCAGTACAATAGTAACGACTGCTATCTTTTTATTGTATGTTTGTATTAAATAAAGAACAGATATTAGACGAGACATATAAGTGCTATCTAAATAGTTGGATCGCTGTAGTTAGCCGTATTCGTTGATGTTACACAAATAATTCGATCAGCGTAATTTCTTATTTCATCATTTTGTTGAATCACGTAATTGATTTCAGTTACTTTTTTCCAACAATCATTATATTGATAGGACTTAACACATTTTGAGTAATACTAGATAAAACTATGGTGGTCAATAATGCGGTTCAATTACGTTTAACTAGGTTTGTTATTTCAATTTTCATTAATATGAACTCCAGCAGAGATCAAGGGTTCGGTTGCCTCGACAAACAATGGTTCACTTTATACAATACACGGTAGCCTCTGCCTTACACGTGTTACTGGACTTGGGCAGGTTCTTTCTCCTCTAGAAATAGAGGCACACTTGCATACATCAATTGTCTGTTAGCATTACGAGAACCAGAGACCGCTATGGCGATCTCATTTTACACTTATATTGTTACAGTTTATGTTTACTATAACATTGGGTCACCTCATGGCTAAAATACATGCAATAGTAAATTCTATAACATGAAGTGGCTATGTCTATATATAGTATGTTTCAAATTTATTAAAAAGGTACATTACAGTCCAATAAATAAGATAAATGTTTGAGTATGTGATTACATATACTAGCATCGTACAATACGTACTACTGATAAAGGGGAATTCCTAAACCTTTCAAAGACATTTGTCAACACAGGTATACAGTTTAGTCCGAATACAAGCTCTCCATTGGATCACATGTTGTTTTGCCAGGTTTACATGTAATAACGTTGTAATAGAGACAAAACTTGATGGGTTTTGTGAATGTACCTACTCAGTATTTGTGTAATGCTGGAGTCGATATAAGTAGGATATATAAATCAGCAGTTATGATATACAGTCTAGAGCAGTGGACCTTTGGAAATAATGCGACTGATGTCCGAAATGTTTCCACTAAATATGCATATATAAATTTGGATTTTACAAAGCATTTCAAGCTTCATTTTCTTATGTGTAGGACATACAATTTGATTTGTCCATGGATATGATAGGGATAGTAGATGTGTCTACATTAGAATCAGTATGTTTTCAGTTTGCAGTATACAAATATTGATTTTTTCTTCTTCAATACGTTGTTTAATTATTGAGTTTGTTGATTTAAGATCTAATATCTTTATTAAAATAAGTATGTTTTGAGTAAGTAGTTTATTTATTGAAAACAAAATTGATTCAATACCTGGTATTGTCATTGATAGTTTGTGTTCAGTCGGCAGTACAGTAATAACCTATATATTAAAGTCAATATGCATTTAGCATGCATAACAATATATTAAAATATGTGTTAAAAGTAGTGATATCTAATGGGTTGACTAACCGATTAAACTTTAATAGAAATACAAAGGATAGCATCGCATATGGAAAACAAACAAATAAGAGCATTGACTCATAGTTATGCTATACTGCATTGTTCTGGGTGGGTTACACATTTTTGAAATATGTCTGACGATTTCTTGTGTGACGCATATTGAAGTGTTCAATGATAATTCATACCGTAGAAAAGAGCCCGAATTTCTCATAACAATTCAGTGTGCGTTGGAAACTCTCTTCATACTGTTCAAGAAAGGCAATCATAGAATGACGTAATGTTCTTCAAATTATGACGTCAATTCTCTATTCGGCTCCGACTGCTGTCTGTGACCTGATGGAACTAATGTCAAAACAAACCATGGTCTTGTTGTCGCATAAATGGCTGTTCCTTGATCACGTTGTAGGATAGTTAATATTGAATGTAACAAAAATGGAAAGAAATAACCAAAAACAATAAGAAACATATTTTTCTCATTGGTTTGAACGCAAATGTGAGTGAAGATGCATGCAACAAGGTTCCGTGCAAAAAGCTAATAGCACCAGAAGGAGAATGGTTGGAGGGTTAGGGTCGGAGAGAAGTGTGTTCTATACCACCGTTCATTTTACATAGATACCTGTAACTAAATGTCCCAGGTAATAATTTGTAACATTACAATATGATACTTACAAGTCAATTATCACACACGCGTTTTGTACAATGTAATAATGTGCGGGTCGCCATTACCAGTACGTAATGGCGTTTTCAGTCCACCTTCATATCAACTGAACAAGGGCGAAACAAATTATCATTTACTTTGTATACAACGAAATCTTATAACCGTAGCAGAGAGTGTAAGACGTAATTATAAGGTATAATGTTAATGACTATGTCTGCAGAACAATGGCCTACATTGCCAGCATACTACACTTTCCGGCGTTGTCCGACAAAAACGTTAGGCGATGTCCGGTAAAATCCAGAAATTAAACAAAGTTCTCAGATCAATACATAATTCCAGACTCGTCCGATGCGGAGATGTACTTGTATGAGCCTCGTAGTGATGGTGGGCCAGGGTTAATTGATGCCTTACGTTCCAGCACCATGCGGTCGAGGTCGGGCTCAGACAAGCCCAGGAGAATGGTGTACGGGCTATCTTTGATGTGTACACCCGACCAAAAGACATTAACGGTGTACACACCTGGTTCAATGGGGTTATACCGGCAGTGGAACACCTTCGTCTTCTGGCTCGAACGCATCATCTCCACGCGGAACGCACCTGTCAGGTAAATTAGTGAATGAACAACGAAATGCCACGTGACAACATACAATCAGAGAAAAAGCGTTTACATGTATTATAGACCGTCTGAGACGTAACGTTTACATGTATTATAGACCGTCTGAGACGTTACGTTTACATGTATTATAGACCGTCTGAGACGGAACGTTTACATGTATTATAGACCGTCTGAGACGGAACGTTTACATGTATTATAGACCGTCTGAGACGGAACGTTTACATGTATTATAGACCGTCTGAGACGGAACGTTTACATGTATTATAGACCGTCTGAGACGGAACGTTTACATGTATTATAGACCGTCTGAGACGGAACGTTTACATGTATTATAGACCGTCTGAGACGGAACGTTTACATGTATTATAGACCGTCTGAGACGGAACGTTTACATGTATTATAGACCGTCTGAGACGGAACGTTTACATGTATTATAGACCGTCTGAGACGGAACGTTTACATGTATTATAGACCGTCTGAGACGGAACGTTTACATGTATTATAGACCGTCTGAGACGGAACGTTTACATGTATTATAGACCGTCTGAGACGGAACGTTTACATGTATTATAGACCGTCTGAGACGGAACGTTTACATGTATTATAGACCGTCTGAGACGGAACGTTTACATGTATTATAGACCGTCTGAGACGGAACGTTTACATGTATTATAGACCGTCTGAGACGGAACGTTTACATGTATTATAGACCGTCTGAGACGGAACGTTTACATGTATTATAGACCGTCTGAGACGGAACGTTTACATGTATTATAGACCGTCTGAGACGGAACGTTTACATGTATTATAGACCGTCTGAGACGGAACGTTTACATGTATTATAGACCGTCTGAGACGGAACGTTTACATGTATTATAGACCGTCTGAGACGGAACGTTTACATGTATTATAGACTGTCTGAGACGGAACGTTTACATGTCGTGTATAACAACAATTTTATTCATAATAATATAGTTAATCATTGCAAGTATTTTTAATGTCCAACTTTCAGGACGGTAACCTTTGGCTTCAAACATTTTTTATTCAGATAGTACTTCAGTAACATATGGGAAAAGGTCAAATATTATTTCAACATGAATTCTGTTCTTCGGCATATGTTATAATTGATTACTTTTGAATTTTTCGATTATTGTCCAAAATTGCTAAATAATCTTTTAATTCATTTTTCTGCCACTCCCATGACTTTCCAAGTTTGATAATTAAACATGACATACAATTTACATCACAACATGTAAATGAATCCCGTAGCATGACACGGTGTTTACCATTTGACATCAGGATGATGTGTGTGTCGTCAAAAGACACGTTACGTACCCTTTGGACCCATGATGCTGACGTGTATCTCGCCAGCTCCGGCGTTGGTAGCGTCCACCCAAAACTGACCCTCGAATTGGGGTAGGATTCCGTTAGCGATGCCCGGTCCGTACACATCTACCGTGCCTATGACAGGGTTGAGGCGGACATCTATAGCATACGGGCTATCTGTAAAATCAACATACCGACGTTATCAATGCATACAAAACTCTTTCGAGACACGAAATGTACATATTATAGAGTTCAAATTACACTCTCATGTAAACATTGAATACTAAACAGATACAACTTATATACACATGTACTTCCACATGGACAATACAATCACTACAATGTCAATATACTATCCATTCTACCATGTCTCTGATATAACGATATTGACTAATAGCTATGCATGACTTAGGGGATAGTACGTTGTTTTGAGTGGCTATACTATCGGTCTCGAGTTCAAACCCAAATTTCATGTTCTAATCGCCAGTATAGACACGAAAAACAACGTACTATCCCCATTCTAACACGCCTTAACAAATATACTACGCTAATATGTTTAGAAACATTGTATTTCCTTGTACAAAAGTACGTAGTAAAATACTTTGTGACCTGAACTGGCGACGTGTCAATCTGCAGCGGACTGACCAATCGGAAAGGAGCTTTCAAAAGTCGGTCATTTGGCCCCGCCCATACTGGCGAGCGCTCGATCTGTATGTTGACGAGGCGGAATATTTGGATTGTTCGTGAACGTCCTGTTACCGAATTTTATACGACACATTTGGATTGATATTGACCAAGTTCTTACATTTCCATGTCAGTATGCATACCAATCTGTGCTTATCGACAAAATCGGCGATTATTTATATAGATTTGTGAAGAGTTTTGTGTAAATGCATACGACACATGTGAAATGTTTCATTTGATTTGGGATCTAAATATATGCCTTCACACGGATGGAACGAACGTTTCAGTAATAAATGGAGGTTAGACCAAGGAATGAGTACTTTTTACTTTTTAATTCATTCAACAAATACATTTCATCGGTCGTTTCTGTTCTGTTGCCTGCTAGCCTTATCAGCGGGATTTCGCGAAGAGGCGAGCTTGACGCCATATTGTTTTGGTTTGAAACGGGGAGTGGCTTAAGTGCGATGGGAGGAGCTTAACGCGATTGATCATGATTCTATCGCAGATTAGAACATGGTCCGTAACCAATCAAAACACGCGTTGCAAACGAATCGTGTTAGAATTGATGTTAGACCATGTACGTGCATGTATTATCTTCCAATAGACACACGCTCTTCCGAGTACTTCCTACACAGAGGTAACCAAGCGAGCCTCGACACTGCTTTCCTTCGTCAAATTACACCTCTACATCGACTTTAAAACTGTCAAGCTCACGACCTTTGTTATTTTTTTCAAACCCCAAAGGGGCGCAAAGCGCTGCCGGGGTTTGATCTGTAAACACTTTGTCCACTTCCGGTGCTTCCCCATGCGTGAAAGCCTTCTGGGAAATTAAGGCCGCATACTGTCTACAAAAATATGTTGGTAAACCCTACCGTATCGGTATTGATTGCAGTTTACTTGTAAAATATCATGAATTCTCTATTTAATAAAAACATATATTTAATGCAGTGAAGATAAACGAAACATTATATCTTCACAAGTAAAAACTTCACTCTGTTAGTATTGTCCAATCTGAACGGTACATTATTTTTCTGCGTAGATTTTCAGTTTCAAGTTTAGATGAAGTGACGGCAGTATAAGTGGTTGAGCTGTTTACCTTTGCAGCATACATTGTTGTTTTTACATAACTACACAATTAATATCATTTTGGTCTGGAAATCTTACCAGATATACTAGCAAACGGCAAAATTGCAGTGAAAACCCATTCAAAGTGGCGCTTTGTATTGTTGTCAAGCATGACGTCTTTATAATTTGGCGTCAAAAACTACGTAATACATTCCCGCGCTTTTCTGATGTAGCAATATTTGCGCAGCGAAACGTGAAAGAAATGTAAGAAATAGAAAATTTCATGGTTTTCCCGTTCAATACGCTATATTTATTTCACTTGTAATGTGAAATAGGCGAGACCCAAACAGCTGGCACACATACATATGAAATTACTGTTTCCTACATAACTTACCAGTTACATTTTGTCAGTAGAGTGAACATCCAGTCCTGTCATTATTCAATGGGTGTACTATTATGTTTTCTTCGTACGGGGTGGGGTTAACATAACTTAACTTAAACCAGGATACCTTATCCCCCTAAACCCCTGCCTGCTGAGGACTTTTATTTCAAAATATATGTCCCCATATTGGGACAGGGGCAATTTCGGTCCCTTTTTGTTAAAGTCGTTCTGAACAATATGTCATATGCTAATATGGTCGAGTGGTCAAAGTTAACACAACGGCCTTCCATGCGGCCGGGGTTCGATCCCAGAAGTTGTCGTATGCATGGATATGCAGAGCAAGTGTTTTTCTCCTGCCTATACAACTCCAACAACCCAGGTGGAGTATAAATTGGTCTGGGGAGAATGTTGCGGTATTTGTGCTGTAGCATTCAAGCGAGGTGGCACTATAAATGATACCGTATGAAGCACGGTCCCGCTACAAACACACCACATTACGTATACATTTCCAGCACACACGCAGTCATACACACATGGGGAGATATTAGCCAGGTGGCATTTGGCTAGTAGTTAGCGCCTGAAAAGGTAACAACCAAAAAACCAGCGTTGTCAAAATATGTCTTCGTTGCAGTCTCGAGAATTAATAACTATTATCTAAAGGGACGGGGGGAGGGG